ATTCAAGGTAACAGCTCTGACAACTTCATACCATAGGAGTCTTGAGCTGGTTCCAAAGACTTCTCATTGAAGACTTCTGCGTCACTTTCACTGACTTGAGACTTCTGTACAGCTCTAACTTCAGAAGACAAACCAGCTGTTTTGATAAAAACATTTTGTGAACTTACCTTATTTCACATACTAAAGTGGCAAGTTGAACAAAAAAACAAACAGCAGTTTTAAGTATAAATTGCATTCTATTATGAAATCTATTTTCTACTCACTTTGTATGCCCAAATCAATCTCATCAAGAGATTTGCCTTTGTAGACCTCAGTTCTACGTTCGATTGCCATGAGCAGCTTGCTCATCTTTGCAAGCTGAAGAGTGTTCTCGGTTAGGCAATAGTATTCACGATGAACACGAATATCATGTCCCATAAATTTGGCAAGTTGATCCAACTCATTTTTTTTCAGGTTCATTATCTGATTGTGTAGCCACGTTTCCTCAGGTGGGTTGACGTGAGTGTTTCAGGCTTCCTTGCCCCACTTGCAGCTGCATAGTTCCTCAAACAGTCTGAACCTCGGAGATGAGAATCCGAATACTGTCTTGCAAAGATGTACTTATTATTATCCAAAATGCCATTGTCCTCACCCCTTTGCTCAATGAGGAAATCATGTGATTTTGTCATTTCGCTGGTAAGCAGCACAGGTACTTTATGGCCTCTCTTCCCTCTTATCACCAACCTGTTAAACTCATGACTCAAATCTTGTTCCAGTTTTGAAAGGCACTGCATAATGCCCTCATTTGGGTCTTCTTTGGTTCTGTTCCTATAGGTCAACAGAGGCATTTTTGCTGCCTCACCTTGCCGCCTTCGGTTGAAGTATGATTTGTGAGAGAAGGCACTCACTGAGAATCTTGTATGCTTTAGGGTTAGGTGCTTCCATGAGTTTCACTTTTGCCTCCTCTGCTGTGGACTTCAGTACTTGATGCAGCTTCATCACATCTTCTGTGAGTGGGATCATTTCTTTTTTGTTCCATCTGTCCTCTTCTAAGTTTGTTCATGCACGGCATGACACAAAGAGGTCCCACTCTGATGCCACTAAGTCCAAGAAGCCCTTTACTCTGCCTGCAGCTGCATCATTTTCAGCCTTTATATGATCCTCAATCACAGTGTCACATACTGCCTTCAGCGAGTGTCCTAACTTCAAAGCAAGAGATGGTGTGTTATACCTGTACTTGGAGCTGGTGAAACCAGAGGCTTGTTTTGCTGCTTCCACAGCTAAAAAAAATTTAGGTGGCACCAAAACATCTTGCAGCATCTTAACTTCGCGATCAAGGGACTTGGCAGCAAGTAAAAATCTAACAACTCTCACCTTTTGACTGACATGACCATCTTTTGATCGATCACGCCCATGTTTCTCCAGCAGTCTATCTCTAAATACACATATGAGAGGGTCATGTCTTAATTCAAGGGACACCTTGTCAATTACCATTGTCTTAACAATGTTTGAGCATCTTTCTGATGGCTGTCCTTTGTATGGAAGGAGAGCTGAGGCAGCAGCTTGAACTCTTCTTTTTTTCTGGGATTTAACTTCTGACTCGAACATTGTTCTGCGACACCGTTTCTCATGTTTCCATAGTTAATCTTTTATGAAGAACCCATAGCAAATGTTGCATGGCAACTATTCTTCTGCATTTGCATGTTTTGATGGCTGTCTATAGGTTACTATCTCACCCTCACCCTTCTGCAACACCTCAATGTTATGATAATAATTTCCCTTCCTACGAAGTTGCT